TCTTATGTTCAGTTGAATTATTTTCTAAATTTTTCATTTTCTCTTTTTCTAAAAATGCATTTTTTGCCTATGAGAATAATGATAATGATCAAAAAAAGGAGACAAATTACTTCTGTTGTGTACAAAACATTCAATAAAATCATATGATAATAATAATAATAATATCTATTTTGTGCGCTAATAAGATGTGGCAACTTGGACCGATGCATATATGTGCCTGGTCCTACGTTGTAGCTGACTGACTGACTGATTTTGTGTAAATACTATTGAAATAAAGAATTGTATAAACATCTACCTTACTTTACACGTGTACCTACTTTCAACATACTGACAACCTAGGTCAAAATGGTATAAAGAACGATATAAGGAAGTTGATAAACCTAAAATATTTACACACTTTACAAGGAACTTGAAAGCACCAATGATAACCGTACTAAAAGACTGCTGTTTAATGGCATGATATATCATATATACTCAAACCCCTTTGCAAGAGTTTTACACAGATCACAGAGATTACTTAATTAATAATTCTGATCGAATAAAAAGGATAATAAACTACACTAAATGAAGTATAAACACTAAGATAACAGGAATACCGAATAACCAATGAGAATTCACATTGTTTCAATAATCAACCCCAGTTCAACTCTGTCAATGAAATTGGTTCTGATACCAATTCATATAATTTGTAGCCACTTAGAACCCGGAGAAAGTGGTTGCATTTATTTTGAGTAGGTGTACATAAGTAATATCAGGACATTATTTATCGATCAAAACTGGCTATAAAAACCGATAAATATGGAACAATCGTATGACATATTTATGTGGTCGAATATCTGCATGGCAACCAATGGGAAGATCCTGGAGGAAAATCTTCAAACTGATTAAAGATGTGTTTCTAGAATAGCAAACGTGATGTCGAAAATTAGGCAATAACAACAACATAAAGTAGTTATATAGCTAAACTGTGTCGCGTGTAAGACAGTCATTACTCAGGCACACAGTATCGTTGCACATTATCAATCGATCGGGATATCTCATTCATTAATTTGACAATCTTTAGACGTATTTTCTTCACAAACTATATACGGCTAATTAATAAAACAATTGCTAACCGCTTCAGTAGTAAAGTGCTCAAGTAAATCATCGTTTTGAACTTGTCAGAAACTGTGAATGAGACTATTAACAACGATGGTCAGTCAAATAAGTCAAGTTACCTATCAATACCACAGGACTTTAATGTGCAACCAAAACAAGAAAAATTATCGGATTATTTAACCGACTTTACTTTATGCATGAAAAAGGGGTTTATCGATCACCACTAACACAACACATTGTACATTATGTGTACAAGAAAAATACAATTTTTAAATGAAAACTTAAAAAGGCTTAACGATATAAGAAAAATAAATGTAGAAAACGTATAGAATTGAATAATGTCAAATCTTCCAAAAGTCACTCTTTAGTAATAAAATTCATCTTAGCCAGTTGTTTTGTAGTGCAAAACAACATGCAGTAATGAATTGGGAATTAAGAGTAAATTGATTATCAATGAAGATAAAAATGGATATACTCTTTAACTTAAATTCACTAGACACTAGTGATCAAGAAAGTTAAAGTAGATAAACTTTGCATGGTACAACAGTTAATAGTTATTAGGGACGCTAGTTGATAGTTAAAATTCGTGAATGCTACTGATGTCGAAATGAGCATACCCATGAAACGTAACGGTATACGGTGTATGGATGCAGAAAACGAAAAAAAATATTGTGTACAAGAGCGAGGTAGTGTCTAGAAAAATCAAAGTAATCATTCTCAAACTTCCTGACACTAGAAAATAACAAACCGCACCTGCGAATAAGAAAGATTGTATAGTGACCAGTATTCGTTTAACCAACGCCAGGTTTCTTGACAAACGGTCTTATATTTTAATTCCAAATTAGTTTCATTCGGTTTAGATTTAAACCTTAATGGATGGATGTTTGAAGAGTACTGAAACGAATTAGGGTTGTGACAAGGCCAGGGTGGCAAGTCTTTTTTCGAATCCTGACTTTCCTTGATTTTAACAGATATTTTAGAAAGCTGTTTGTAGTAACCCATAGGAATAAACTTGTCGCCGTAGGCAAGAGATTGTGAACTGATGAAATTAATCGATCTGAACACCGTACCGTAGGACCACATATTTCCTCGAAAATATCTGCTTTATTTCATCTTCGGGTCGACCGGTAGTTAACCTTTTACAACATAATAACAATATTGATAAAGTTTGCCAACAATCAAGAACTGTAGTTAACAAGTATAAAATAACCAAACAACTAACACGAGTGTAGGAAAGTTGTACGACATATGGAGAGCAAAATAAGTAGATTCACAATTGATTGATCCCTGGGTGGTGATCAATATCATGCACATTAGTTCCTCCTTAGTGCAGATCGAATCCTACCGACCAAGTTGCAATGTGGTCACTAGTCTAGGTGACTCGACATTGTGTACACCATCTTCTCTGAGTAGATTCAGTTAAAATTATAGTTAAAGCAGGACTGAAGTTAAGCTTACGAAAATACATGCCAGAAGAAGACTTAAATACGTCTAGAAGAATAAACCACTTCATAAAATACATGATTAAAATAATCAGTAGTGATCTGCATCATGAAAAGCTTGTGATCCTCTTAGTAAATAGAATATTGAAATGAAGGAAATCTAGTACAGGAAACCTATCACTTTTAAACACCTTAACAATTGCTTAATTCCGAAAGTGAAATAGACCAAAGCTCACAATGCTGTTTTCTGGAACAAGACAGCAAGTCTATGGGTGCGGGATCTACGTTAAGATGTTTACTAGTCCCACTTTCTGGGAATCACTAATTTAATGCATATAGACAAGAGCATCTACTTTAAGGGAAATCAGCTACATAATTCTTATCCAAGCTGTATAATTTGAACGTAAACCTTATGTTTACGTGCTCAATAATCAAACAGAATACACCAAATTTAAGTGGGATGCCTCAGATATCAGCTATAAATTAAAAGAACTGTATATTGCCCTTCGCTTAGCCAATCACATATTTTTACAGCATTATATCACTGAAATTTGAATGGAATAACTTGGACATCTCATAACTATTTGACTAAAATGTTCATATATTTAGCAAACTAGCTACATATTACATTTACAATATCAAAGTTTTTATTTCAAATATTGTACCGTAAACTTTAATCTGGACAATTAATTATTATCACTAGCTCTATTACAAAAGTGTGGTTCAAATTTATATATATAGGTATGAAAATACCTCAGTCTATCTAGCTGATAGTGCTTTACCACCATCCCTGATGATCCCTTGAGTCAACCTAACTGGGTTTGCTGCCTAGTAATAGACCAGGTGGGTGTGCAGAACACCAATAATCTCGGGGATCTCATTAATCGTGGTACTCCGAGAACTGACAAAATCTCAATAAGGATACAAGTCCTTTTCAAATTTACATAACGTACAACATCAGTGAAATGAAAGTTTTGTCTATTAAACAGAGAGCACATAGCGCAGCATACCTTTTATCACTAAAACGGTTTTGAGAAAAAGACGTACATAAGTTGCTTTCGTTTGACCGTAGGTGTTTCTGAAACGCTAGTCAATTTTAGTGGGGATACCGTATAATGTCTAAGTTATGAATAGAGCACTAAGTGATGATAAATTGGTTGCTACGCTTTAGTCCAATGAAGAAGTTAAGATACATTACGCATACACATACATATAATGAAGCAACTATTATATAGGAGTTAAGTTATGAACGTGCATTAACCAACTACTTTTCTCCTAATCGCTTCAAGATTATATTTAATCAGTAAGAATTTGCACCAGAACCTGCGGTGTTCTGGAAATTGCAGTCCGCACTACTTTATTGTTTGGGTCTTACTGGTCCTATTTAAAATAGGGTAAAGACTTTCTAACTTCGTGAAAGCTCTCTTTAACCTAAAAATGCTTCAAAACCTTTAACAGGAACGCAATACTTCATACAGAAATAGTGAAAATCAAATTAAAAAACGGCAAGCACCCCATTAATTCCCATTCAAAGGCGACGCTAATTTTCAGAAGCGTTCACCTGACCGAGAAGAACGAGATTTTGAAAGGGCTTAGATGCCTTTCAATCAACCTGCCGTCAATTGAGGTAACCGAAAATGATGTATGGAATAACGAGTGTAGGTTTTAAATCAGATATATCTTTTTTCTTTCTGACTAAATAAGAACGAATCAGAGAAAAAGAAAGGTCTTAAAATCCCACAAAGGACCATATATCGGTGGAGCGCAGATTTCCCTACTGCATAATCGACTCTTAAAACCTACTACTAGAAAACATGATATTTGTACCTTTGTTGAACTTACTCAAGAGAATATCAGACATGCAGAAGTATCCTGGAGAACTAGGTCATGCTTTCGAGCTTCTGCCCTTCATACATAAATCTGAACCTGCATCTGATGCTAAGGCAAATCCGGTCCTATAAATTTTTCCCCACTCGCATTATGCCTTCAAGTATTATTAAAATCTAAGTAATGGAGCATATATGAGTTAAAATAATTTTACTTAAAGGCCTATTACAAGTTATCGTGTCATCGGATTGTAAAATGCCAACGTCAAAACAATGCCTTTGATGATCTGCTGGCCTACATTGTTTGCAAGACAAACACATTAAACAAAGGCGTAACAATGAGTCGAAAGTGACCAAACAACAAGACCAGCCAAAACTAATTATTAAAATTATTTTGACAGGTTAACTATGGATAAAATAGGGCTTATTTATGCATGACACGCACTTCGCTTGGTGTAGTAAAAATAAGAAACCCATACATGCACCCCAAACATGTTACAATAGTACTAATTAGATCTAAACAGAACTTGGAGTTTTAGAATAGACTTTATTCACATAACAATCTACGAGTGGAAAGTCATTTCTAAAAATACAATTTGGTTTAAATACAGACTAGAAGTGTTGTTCCATCATACTATGTGTCTATCTTTTCATCCGGAACTTGATTTGAACTCTGAAACGATCCACAATGAAGGTCAGGAAAACTTACCACAATACGGTGAGAAACCAAAGGAAGTGGTTGTTTAAAGTCATTATTACAATTGGAAATCCCCATCCCGAGACCAAAACCAGTCCCGAAGATAAGTGGCCATGGACGCCCTAGGCAAGTTATATAATACGGGAACTTACTTTTAGCAAGCACCACAGAAAATATGATTCCCCCAAATAAACCAGCACCTATAAGCCGTTTTAGAAAACGTCATATCGAACCTGTCTTAATCAAGGTATCGGAAATACACCTATCAAGTTTAAATCCAAGTATATCTTCTGACTTGAAGTTCTCGCCCATCTGACTGAAACGCAAGAGTGAAAACAGGCGCTTTGATTTCAATACTCAAATAGTGTGAATCAATTGGTTGGGAAGTTTATAGGAATGTGACACTCAGTGTTTCATTGAGTTCATCCTGGAGCTAAATTGTGTACTGAGGGTGTATGAAGGACAGCATATGAAAGAATCGGGGAGAGAAGTGAACAATGAGTAAGCACATACTTTACACATATATTTGATTATAGAAGCAATCGACAACAGTCAACCATAACATTGGTATAAAATTAGGACAACCTACAGGCTTTCAACATTGATACTGATCTCATCATTTTTACTGGTCACACCCAGCTGAAGGCGCTCGACCACGATTGGGCACGCATTGCTATACATCCCATGCGACCGTTAGCCAGCACAGACTGGACGCTTCCGAACTTATCAGTAATCGCCCAAATATATTTTCAAACCTTTTGATTTCCAACTGCTGATTTCATTGGGTTATTATACTTCGATAATAAAGGTTTACGTGTAAAGGAGATTTCAAACTACGCATCATTAACACTATTACCGCATACTTAATGAATTTATTAAATATTGGGTTGGTGACTCCTTTTCATGCATCTAAAAATGCGCTTGAAAGTTACTAGTGCAAGGCTTTCTGTAAATCATTTTTATTATTGACAAAATAAAACTTTGAGCTGTTTGAAAGTTCGTGATCTTTGCTGCTTACTGCTGTGGATCACCAACGTAGATGATCTATGTCGAAATGATTGGAGGCCTACTCGAGTTAGACGTAAATAGTGTGACGAACCAACTAACGTCGAAGTCACACCTCGTGGTCAGCACCTTACGTGGACTACCCCCATTGACGTAACAAGGTACTATAGATGTTTTGAAGACTGTACAACACAAAGGACGTTATTACAGAAATATATTAGTTAAGGTAGATACAGGCGAAAGTAAGACCACTGCTGCATGGGCCAGTCCATGGCGTATGATTAACTAATGCGCGTTTGTTGTACATGACCTTGGCAGGGAGCGACGATCTGTTCGACATTCAGTGATCTAACTGCCGGATGATTTGGCTAGGGCTCAGTGACATTTCACTGGCCCTACACTGCGTACATTTTTGTCATTCTTATCGTTCGCTACATATCAAAAATTCTTTTTTCGATGAACGATTTTCAGCCATAGTATCAAAGAGTGTCGCATTTACAAAAGATTTAAATTCCATTATTTGTGCAGTGGAATTTTTTTGGGCTGAATTTATCCATAAGTTGTGTATGTCCAGTCTAGACTCCAACCGAAGCAGACTAAATTACTTAATCTCCGGGTCTTGTTCTCTTTGAACAGTTACGAACAGCACTCCTTGTCCGAAACATCACTGTAAGTTAATATCACATAGTCCGTATTCCTTGCAACAACAGTTTTCATACATATATACATTGATCAATAAATGACATCTCAAGACATATACAGTATCTCTTAGAAGTGCTTGCAGTAGTTCGCGCTCTAACTTGACCCACCGCTCTTAATGTCTCTATCAGCCTCCAGGATACAAAATGTTGGCACAATATTTCTCAAAGGGGATATTTTCCGTGCTTATGTTTCACAAGCAAAGATAGATTTCAAAGTGAGCATCACTTATTGAGATTCGACACGGACCGTTGTCAGCATGTCTCATATACACATACATTCCTATGCGATGAAATCGATAAGCAGTCCCAAACATTTTCGGTTCATTTATGAAACCCGAAATAGAAGGCGAAAGAATAAACTATACTCCGCCCACAAATACTGGTGCACAAAATATTGACTCTGCTTCTTACAACCTTTTCATTCAAGCGTCCACGTCAGTTAACAATGCAAACATGATTGTGTTGCTATTTTCCCCCTCCGAAGCCAAAATGCCGCTTCGAGACTAAATTGCGTCGGCTCTCAAATTAAGGGTAGAGAGTGAAGAAGTTGAACACAACGACCACGTCAGTTGTTAGTTCTGATTGTCCAGTGTCTGACGAAATAACAGCACAAATTCAGAAGGGTCGACTGACCTTGGGAAATTGCTTCACTGATGGTGCAGGCGAGATATCTGTTTTCCAACCGAATGACGTCTTTTCTGATCAGCAGTTTGCCCCATCCTACTTCGTGGGTGTCCAACAGAACCATTAAGAATAGAATATTTGAAGGTATTTGATAATAGATGTCTTCGAATAATCGCCATTGTATCTAGGATCAGCTGAATAGGCAATATCGGGGTTAGGAATAGATTTTTTGGTAGGAAGGTGGAAAATTAATTGACGATTTGGTAAATCTTCATCAACTGAGGTGGTTCGGGCATGTGCCAAACAAACTCGGTGTATGAATGGGCTAGACGAAAGCAATGGAGATCAAATTGAAACACGATTTCAGTCCACAGAGTCACTGATAGTTGAATCGAGCCATATTCGGATGTGTAGACTATTTGGTTGCGGTCAATATGATTATCGTAACCAATGGTTGAAGACTATGAATGATATGGCTGAAAATCGTTTGGAGTGACGCAGGCACATCCATTATTTGTTTTCCACCAGATTTTGAACTCTTAAATTCCTTAAAACGTTTCCTGCGTATTTTCATCAACGTCTACTCAGTTGGGTCGTATATTCGTAGCCTCGTCGTTTTAATCCCTACACATGCTGGCCTAACAACTTCACCTCTCTGTACTAATAGGATGTGACAACTCGAACCGACCTACATACATATAAGGTTCTAGCTCACAGAGAGTTAAGATTTATGGAGAATTAATCAGTCAGCATGCTACTTGTTTTGTTCACAACCTCAGTGAAAACACAGGGTGATGTCTTTGCGAGAGTGGCTGGAACATATCACCATTAAGTAACCTTTCATATTCTATAAATTAGCAATTAACAACCGGCTATCTACTTTATAGTGACGAGTATATTCAGTAACTTTGTAACAACGAAAATAATGGCCACGTTTCTTCTTATTTGTGACACATTATGCGTAAGGTTATATATATTCAGTATCTATTGTTTGCCTGTATCAATTACAAATGGACATATTAACGACATGTGATTGAAGATAAACATCCTGTTAGGCCGTCTTATTATGAGTGGGGTTTCTGACCCAGATTATTACTCAATAACACTATTGGGTTCAGATTTTTCTTCAATGCCAACCGTTCAAAAAACCTTTGTTTATCAAACGTACTTCAGGAGCCTATTTCATAACCATTATCATTTCTGCTATATAATCAACCATTCCGCTGCAAGCCTTATTTGTTAAAGTTTTGTCTTGTTCATAGACAGTCAGTGTTATTATTTTTGAGTATTTTATAGTTAAAACTAAAACGAAGCAACTGACTTCATATTTCAGTCTTATTCTTAGACTTTTGGAGAGCTCTTGATAAGATCACAAACAAAGGGTTCTCGTCAAACTACAGTTCTTCGGAATCAACAAGCCACTGTTCTCATGTTTTACTCCATTCCTAACAGAAAGTAAACAAAAGTTAAAGGACAACGACTTTCTCTCTCATCACCTACATCAATAACTAGTGGAGTCATCCAGGGGCGTGTATTAGGTTCTCTCTTTATTCTTATGTATATAAACGATATATGCGACACCACAAAATTTGGAAGACCATACTTATACGCTGATGATCTCAAAAACAGTATACAGCTTTAAGCCTAATTGAAAGTGTATCTCAAATCCAAAGTGACATCAATAACCTAACTACCCGGAGCGATAAAGTACAATTACCATTTAATCTCAACAAGTGTGGAATCATACATTTTGGAAAACATCCGTATGATTTACAACCTTACTTCAATAAAAGTAGAGTTCAAACACTGAAATCAGCTCACAATCTAGGCAATATTTACATAGGAAGCCTAAAGTTTGGAGAATATGCCTTGTTTATTATTTCTAAATCTAGACGACTAATTGGTTTCATAACGAAAAGTCTCTTCACAACAGAGCCTAAGCTTGCCCCTTACAAAATATGTGTATGATCTTCTCTTGAATACTGCTCTTTTATTTTCTCTAATATGAATATGACAGACAAGATGAGACTAGAAGATGTTCAAAGACGCTTCACATCAACTGCTAGGAATTGACTACTCTCAATTACACAAATACATGTAAGCACCTCTCTTTGAAACATTTATGGCACCATAGGCTAGGGGAAAATCTAATATTTCTGTACAAAGCAATATATGGATTCTCATTTCAAACCTCCTGCCCAACTATGATCCATGACCGAGCCTATAGACTAAGAAACAACGCATATAAACCGCTTATAGTAAAACACCAAAAACCAATGTGTTGTAAGTTGTTTACAGTGCGTATAGTTTATTATCGGATAGGTCGCTAATGCTTATTCGTAACTGTGACACTATCACGAAGTGCAAAATACTAATAACATTATTACTTGACACTAAAGAGTTTCGTCAAATATTTTCTGAATTTCCATCCACCAATGAGGCACTTTATCATAGACCACCTAATATCTGGACCGATCATGAATATGACGAACCCCAATTGTCAGTAATATGAATATAACACAATAACAGAACACATGATTTACTCTCTCTCACTATTTATTGATTAGTCATGTCCTTATGCTCCCACTTCTCAATTTCAGATTCCGAATCTCTCTGATGGCTAAATTTCATTATTCTTGATATGTGCCATGTCCTTTTTTCCATTACAAGTAGACAGATAACTCACAATTCTAAACTCTTACATATTCTTTAATTTGCTCTCTATCCTTATCGTATATAAACCACATGTAATCTGACCTGTGTTTCATAACTTATGCCATTAGTTATCTTCGTAGCAGTGTGATGTACTAAATGGATATCTAACCCACAATATTGAAGCTTTAACTAGCTGGTTTGCTTGTAACATGAAACCAATAAAGATAGTGTATTCCAACAGAGAGCTTAGATAAAAGCGATATTCATACACAACACAAACGTAAGAGAGCGTAACATTACAAAAGGAGGGAAGAAGGCATTACTGAC